TCCGTCGCCAATCGTGATTCTTCGACATTCATCGACCGTAAAGTCAACGCACATTCGTCGGCGAACCTAACCTCTTCCTCTCACTTCGGCTGGCGGTATATCCGCGATAAAAATTGTTTCGAAAACGTCTTTACCCCACCGTGGTGCGAGCTTTCTCGACGAGAATAATTCATAGATCGTGTGGTGGAAACTTGGAATGAAATTTCGTTCGACCGTTGCCACCCTGTTCTTCCGTCAGGGGCGTATGCACGTGGCCGTTCGACGTTTTATCGAACGTTAATTGTTATTTTTAGAGCAACAGACGTAAGCTTAACGTACCTATCGTGTCGTTTTTTATTGCATACGATTTTACGATTTAGAATTTTCCTCTTGAGCTTGCCGTTTTTGACTTGTTAATTAGAAATCAAAAACCGGTTTCTGGCATTTTTACTCCAGCTTTTCAGTTTTGCACGTCATTTGATTTATTTTGAATTAATTTTCATTTTCAAAAACTAAAAATTACTCATTTCGGTGATTGGTTATTTTCTCCAAAAAATTCTAAATGGGAAGCTTTCGACTTTTCTATTATTTTTTGATTTTTCAAAATCATGTTTCTTAATAAGTTTATCATTCGTTATTCTTTTTTTGCTCTTTGTTTTATTATTGTTTGAAGTGCAGACTTTCCAGTTTTTTATTATTTTTGATGCATATTTGGATTTCTATAGAATTTTTGGTTATTTCATCTATGAATCCAGAGGTCGTCTCAATCGATCATGTCGGGTATCAAATACTTGGTTAGTGTCCTGCATTATACATCTCTGTGACTGATGATCTATTCATTAGAATGGCATGCTATTGGGTAATATTAGCTCACGTGCAATTTCTACGTACTTCGTAATTATAACGACTTATTCGCAGAAGTAAATTCGATGCCTTTTTTGATACAGGAAGAGAAACACGCTGATCACTATAACGTGTCAGAAACCTAAAAAATTATCAAATAATACTAATTAGAAACATTCTAAAAATTTGACCTAATGAATTTCAAAATATTATCTTCCAAATAGGGAATGACAAATAAAAATTTCGTTAGTAACAAATATTGTAAAGTTTCTTATTTTATACTTACAAAAGAATTATTTTTAATGTAGTTATCGTGCTTATTTTTTACTCGAGTATACGAATGAATCATGGATTCTAATCAACTCGTAAAAGGTTATATAAAGTACATAAATAGCTTACAACTCATATTAAGATGCACAATTTAATCATAATTGATGGAAACACGCTATGAGTAATAAACAAATATTAGTAGTATTACTTAGGTTATATAAAAAGTTGTATTAGTAGATTACTTATAAGACTAGGTTGTATTACGTATGAAACGTAATGTATTTGGCAACTAACCTCTTAATCTGAAATAATTTTTTTTCCAATGATTTTCTGTTTTATGATAATTGCTTTATAACTAAACTCATTTCCTTTCTATGAATTTCTAACTCTACGACTGTAGAAGCTTCTAAGTGATAAGTAACCCTGTGAACAGTTGCATGGCAAATAATCAAACAGGTGTGTCATTTCTTACTTAAACGTCAAATAATTTCACTTCGACAAATTTCCATTTTGCATATAAAGATACCCACATTTACGTAACATTCGCGGAACAATTGACACTAAAAAATAAAAATATTTCCATTTAATTTAACGTGTCGAGTGAAGAAAACACGATACAAATCGAAATCAACCCGCCATGTTTACCAAGCGGTAAACAAGTGAAAGGAAGTTTCGACTACGAGTGACATCTTACAGGAGTGTCTAGTACCATAAGGGCGTTGAAAAATGTCCGCTAATAAGCGTCCCAACAATTCGAGCAGTTTAACCGGTATGGAACGCGTTGTCGATGAGATAGGTGCCTAAATAAACCTCTTATAACGAGGGACGTCATTCACACCTATACTATACTATACAAACTGTCGTTGCCCTTCCTCGTACATAACGGTTAGGAAGTGACGTAGAAGGGCGTGTTGGTAAGAGCGAATCGCCTTTTTTCAGCAGCGCGGTCAAAAGACGGCAGCACTGTAGCGAGTATTCGCCAGGGAGGACGCGAGCGAAGCCGTTGGTTGGTACGTGCATTCGAAAGGGAGCGATGAGAGGAGATCCATACGCGATGGCTGCAAGATAGCACGCAGAGCTGGCCGCTCGCCTGTTTTCATTCATGATTTTGCGAGAGCGATGCTGGCGCCGTTCTCACTGTGTACCACCTGCGCGTTCTCCTTTGTCGCCACTACCGCCACCGTTAAAGCCACCCCACCTTTTGCCCCGTTTCGTTGCCGGTGTTACCGCCCCACCATGCCTAGGAACGTACACCAGCCGCGCAAGTGTTATTGTTCTTTGCAGGGAGAACGGGTAAGATCCCTAAAGCTAAAAGGTATAATTATAATCATACGCGTGACCCCTCTCTGCGGGACTCTCCGATGTCTAATTCTCTTAGAGCTGAATCGACTTCGATTTTCTCTTCCTTCCTTTACTTTTTAATTTTCCTTCTCAAACTTTCGCCCTTTCTTTCCCTTCTTTGTTAAGTAGTAAGGAAACTATATTTGGTTTTCGAGATTCGGCTGACCGTGTTTCATTAGTGACTTAATCCTTAATTCCATTGAGGTTAGGTCTCTCGAAGTAAGTCAAGAAACATTTTCAGAAAGTTAAACTGCAACTTGGGTAATATTGTAGCTGCAGAGACAGTTATAATTCGAGGAGAAAGGAATAAAGTGAACGGCAGGGAGGGGAGATCGTTCTCGAGAACTTCACGTATATACAGTTGGCATCCGTGGCGAGGACAATTTCACGGTTTATCGAATCGAATAGTACGTTCGAGAGAACGGTTCGATCAAGTTAGCGGGCAGCTCATTACGGAAAAATTAATTTGCACACTTCCGAGCGTATAATCCGATAAGGGTCGAATTAATCGGCTTGCAACCTATTTAATGTCGACGTTATTATTAACTAGAAAGAAGGAAAGGAACAGTACTAGCCACTGACAGAGGATAGTGTTAGTTTATGAACGAATTATTGCTCGATTATTGCATTTGCTGCAAGATAAATCGTATTGCTATTTAAAGCGGGATCGTAACCCTCAGAGTTCGGATCGTAAAATTTTTATTAATCCATTTCCAGAATACTCGAGGAATTTTCGTGGCATGCCAGATTTTTCTTTCGTCTAAACTGTTTTGTAACGATTTACATCTAATTTTATGCCCATTGTTTCAAACATTCGAAAGTACTATAAAATATGAAATATATTTTGTGAATTTAATGATGCATAAAGTACAAAAACAGTTACGAAATTATTTCTAGTTATACATGTAACGTTCATAAATCATATTTTCAAATTTGCATTTGCATTTGCAAATAATTTTACAAAGTTAAATAACTAATAACGAATCTTACTAAAAATTTTCTAATAATAACTTTAAAAAATTGATAATATTCTGCGTACATAGTTAGATAAAATTATTAAATTGTGAGGGAAAAGATATGCTAATTTATAGTATAATAAATTTTAGAAGCTTCAGTTATGACAAAAGATAGTGCAATTTTATACATACATAAAGCTAACACTCTCACAAAATTAATTCCTTACTAGAATTCTACTCGAATAATTTAACGTAATCGTGATATAAATCTGACATGAACTATGTATAGAATTTTGCATAATTTGAGGAATTGAATGGAAAATAACGCATAGAAGAAAGGAGGTCGTAGTACGTTCCTGGCATTGGTGTCGCTTCCCATTTCGGGTTGGTGGCTCGGTTTTTCGTCGTAGATGTTCGTATCCTTCCGCCAACGATCCGGAAAAGCACGAGGTGTGCGTCGGCTGCTGCACGGAAATTGTCGAACGAGCGACGGAGGTCGGTAGAGGTCGGCCAACTCGAGCACGTTTCGACGTCGATTCGTTTCTCGATACGCGGAGCTGTCGTTTCAAAATCATTTGGCCGACTTTTTGGTCCACGTGTTCTTACGAGAACCATGCTTCGTACAAACCGAGCAACGTGGATCATGCAAATGCAAATATTAATATGCGACCCGGCGAACGCCTTACGCAACCGTTAATAACTCGTAATGTTTGTAGACAGTGAAGTGTATTGTATTAACAAATGATAATGTAACACGATGCTTGTCATTGGGGCTCGGCTTCGATATAGAAATGCGCAAGTTCAATATCTATTTTTCAGTATCTTTCCTTTTAGAGACCGCTGTACAGGCAGAAACGAGTAATTGGCTCAATGTATTAATTATCGAATACCGAGCGCTTTGTTGCAATCGTTACTTTCTCCGCCATGTTCTTTGATCGGAGAAGTATCGATGATATTTGAAATTATTAGTTTCTGGTTTAATCCAGCTTACACTGGAGTAATTGATAAAGTATAGTGACAGATAATTAAATATCGCGTACTAATTGTCCACTACGGTTTATGAACTAGCATCTTGTTTTAATTACCATCATTAATCTGTTAACACGATACTAACAAACCACGCGATTACTCGCTTGCCTTTTTCATACTCTTCTCGACACATAATATGAAATTTAGAGATAATGAATTCAAATTATGAATTTGATCGTAATTGCGTGTATAATGACCATATTAATTCTTTGATTGTAAGGGAAAACGCTGTATATATGTTCAGAATTTTTAACGTAATATTTCAAAAATGAAAACATTTAGCGGCGCTTTTCCTTACGTCCACGAAATTATATTCTCGGGAATAACTCGCACGCTACACCTATTCGGAACGTGTTTATCTTTGAATATATCGACGAAACCCGTGATACAGACGGTCCTGCTCTCGTTATAGTTACGTTTTCAAGTAGCCGTTAAGGCGGCTAGCTATAGTAAATATTCTGCGCGACAGAATCTCTCCGTCATCGTTTAATTTTGCCTCTGAATGAAATTTATAAATCCCATAATCAATTAAATCCGGAAAAAATTAATTAACTCGTTAATAATTGGCGAACCTTGTTACAGGTACTGGTGAATCCGGCAAATCCACCTTCATTAAACAGATGAGAATCATCCACGGCTCTGGTTATTCGGATGATGACAAGAGGGGGTTCATTAAACTCGTATACCAAAACATTTTCATGGCCATGCAGTCCATGATCCGAGCGATGGAGCTCCTCAGGATCGAGTATGCCGAATCTTCGAATGTAGTGAGTATTTTTATCGGTGACCCTGGCACCTTTTTTTAACGCTGTTAATTATGGTACTCAAGTGCAACGTGTTCTTTCCATCCGACCGTAGGAAAAAGCAGAACTCGTGCGGAGCGTGGACTTCGAAACAGTTACAACGTTTGAAAGTCCATATGTAGAAGCAATCAAAGATTTATGGGCAGATGCTGGTATCCAGGAGTGTTATGATCGCAGGCGAGAATATCAGCTTACAGATGTCTTTTCTTCACCTCGATGTCATTGTTCGGTTAGTAATTCGTCGGCTGACGTAACCGCCATGTTGACCGTTAAACGAATTCTCGAACACGCGTCGGGCCAAGTGCAGGCCTGACATGACCTGTGCGTAACAGGCGTGTAACCTCAAAATTCATTTTGCAAATGTACTTCTTTAAACAATTTTACAGATCTCGATGAAAAATCTTATAAAATTATTCTGAACCCTTTGCGGCCCTATGTCAATTTCGACATTCTTTCGTTCTACACTGCATTATACGTAATTTAATTTGATGAGAAACATTTCAATGTATATAGTTATTGTTTAAAAGAATACGAGTTTTTAAATAAATTCTTGATCCTAGATCGATAAGAATGAAGCGTGAAAAGTGACTTGGGGCCCAAATGGTTGATTTTGTTATATTTTTGTAAGTTTGTCGTCCATGATTCTCCGATGGTTTATTTAATAATCATTCGTTGTACGAGATTATAGTTTGGGACTGCCATATTTCTCGCGTATCAGGCATTGAGAACATGATGTTTCAGTTACCTAATGGAGATAGATCGAGTCGCAGCACCAGACTACCTCCCAACAGAACAGGACATTCTTCGTGTGAGAGTACCTACTACTGGTATAATTGAATATCCTTTTGACTTGGAAGAGATTCGATTTAGGTATGTCTCGCCATGCAAAGAAAGGAAGACGCTGCCTGTGCCTGTGGTCTACTTACATTGGACTCTTTCTGCATCGTGGCTGCATGCGTGTGACTCACCGATTTCACTTTTGTACATAAAATCATTTATTAATTTTTTCTTTTTCTACCGTACCGATGTATCGCGAGTTTTATTGATCCTATCCTGGTTTTATGACGTATTATAGTTGGAACTTAAACAGAGATGTTCACGTCTGGTAATAGGAGAAAAGAGTCACACACCCTGTTGTATATTTCCATCGTTCACGAGAGGTTTATATACTTCTTTACCCTCCTTCATTGTAAAGCAACGAAATGCACATTCTTCTCACGGTTGGTCATGTAATTTACCAGTAACAGGTATCTTTGCGGAAATATTGTCAATTGCCCCGTTATAACGTGTCATAAAACTGTAAGAATATATCAATGAACTTTGCATTATCGAAAATTCTTACAGGCAGGGACGACGAGCATGTGTGAGCTGTTTTGCGATATTCCGCTCCTCATAATCACCTTTAATACATGCATGGCATGCACTATCAGACTGTGGCTTCGTTTGTTTTGCAGTTATCTTAGTGACCTAGAACGTATCGAAAAGCCTGACTTCCTTCCTACCGAACAAGACATTCTTCGGGCTCGAGCTCCTACTACTGGCATTATAGAATATCCGTTTGATCTGGACTCCATCATATTTAGGTACTAACACACATTACTTGAACTTGACTATACGTTTAGAACTATATTATACTAACTTAGTATCGTACTAACTTGGAGTAATGGATCAGTATCGAAAGATATATGTGAGTTTTTAATAAAAGTAGAATTCTTCATTTCTTTCATTTGTATTATCTTGTGTATGTTTTATTTACACATTGTCACGATGCCCTTTGTTTCGATTAATCATTTTTTCAACCGTATATTTTCCCAATTATTATTGCAATTTATTGTAACGACAACGATATCTTATTGTATATAATTATTACCTATAGAGATTTTTAACGTTATAAAACATAGATCTGAAATAGAAAGTAGTCACAGTAATAGTATCACATAATAGTAGTTACCATTTGTACTTTAGAATACGTTTACAAGGTGAGTAAACATAAAGATAACTTCTTGTTTGAAAATAGGATTTTATGCTATTTAATTAATAAATATTTTATTAATTCTTCCAATTTTTTTTTTTATTTCCTTTTTTCTTGTTTTTGAATTTGTACCCTTCTTTTGCTTTAAACAGCTTATTGTTTGCATGGTTTTTATATAATTTACGTTCACGAATTATAATTTTGTAAATATTATTAAATTTAAATAACGATCATATCAGAGTTTAAATAATGGTATGTGAAATCGAAATTATTTGCAAATCTCATTTAGTAATCGATAACGATGAAATCAAAATTTCTGCTTTACTTTTATTAAGATGTAGCAAATATTTAAGATTATTTAAATTTTGAATAATATTACATAAATTTATTTTGCAGGATGGTAGACGTTGGTGGACAGAGATCAGAAAGAAGGAAGTGGATTCACTGTTTCGAAAATGTCACTTCTATTATCTTTTTAGTAGCTTTAAGTGAATATGATCAAATTTTGTTTGAATCGGAAAACGAGGTAAATATTATTGTAAAACTTGTCCCCTTATTTTCTGATTTATTCGTATAAATAAATAATTTGTTACTATAAACTGTTTTTTAACGTTTCAGAATCGAATGGAAGAAAGTAAGGCATTGTTCAAAACAATTATTACATATCCTTGGTTTCAACAGTCCTCTGTCATTCTGTTCCTAAACAAGAAAGATCTGCTCGAAGAGAAGATTATGTATTCTCATCTTGTTGACTATTTTCCTGAGTATAATGGTAGGTACATAGTATTAATATGTTTTTAAAAATTGTACTATTCATAAGATTCATAACATTACTATGTTTATGAATCTTTAGATCGATACATATAGCATCGTATATAATACACGAGATATATCGCCATAGACGGGCAAAATTTTACTAGTTGATTCGGAATGTGATTTTGAGTGAAAAATATCGCCGTGCGAACGTATAGCAAAACTTTATACTATGAAATCTTATTGATTATAATTGTTAATTTCTATTAAATTTAACATACTTGATTAATCTAAAATAAATTCAACTGATTATATAAATAATTTTATTTTCAATTTTATTCAAAATGATTTTTTGAATAATTTCTTTGGAACATTAGAAACTGCTTTCGTTCTTTAAAAATTATAAATTTTTATTTTTCATGTTCCTAATTGAATTGTCTTAGAAGATTGTAATACAAATATCATTACATAATGTGTAGTTTTCTTTATAGATATGTCAGTATTGCTAAAAATTAATAACTTTAGTTAATAATATCATTGAGTTATGTTTATATGACATTTTTCATATAAAATTATATTCTAAATCAACTGGTACATTTTTGTTCACTTATGGTGTATCTTAGTATATATCGTGCATTCAGACTTAAAAATATTTAGTGAATATATGTATATTTTTTCCATTTTTAGAAATTAGTTCAGTCGATATTGTGTTTCTAAATATTTTATTTATATTTGTTAAAATCGATAGAAGCAAAGCAAACGATCGAATAAAACAGAATTACCTTATTAAAAATTATCGATGTCCCCGTAAAACATAAGTATTACAAAATATTAAACATGAAACACCTTAGGATGAATTGTCAATAACTGTTCAGAGGATCAGGTTCATAATTATTTCGTATTGCTTTGGAACGTATTATTCAATTTATTATTAGTAAATGAATAAGTTTTATGGTATAGGCCCTAAACAGGAACATGTACCAGCCAGGGAATTCATCTTAAAGGTGTATCTCAGTACGAATCCTGATCCTGACCGCATGTGCTACTCTCACTTCACGTGTGCGACAGGTCTGTTTAAATATAACACATCCTGGCAGAAATTGTAGATGTTTTGTAGACAATTTTCTAAATCGAGCCAGTAACTATAAATTATAAACTCGTATTTGTATTGTTAAAGCTTAACCCTTTCCGTATCATAGAACAGCTATTTTTCATATTTCGATATTATCTTATTCATTTTATTGATAATAAATACTACAACTTTCTCATAAAAGCATACCAGAACAACTTACATACATATATTATTAGATTTAGTTTTTGCTTTAGATAAATTTATTTAATTTATAATTAATTTCCAAAGCATATTGCATAAGCATTCTTTATTTTTTCTAAAAGTGAATAATCATTCCAATGTAATATTTTTATAAACTAATGAAATGAAAACATACACTAAACTGTTATGTAAGACGTTTATCTGATTGGTAAATCCTTTAAAAGGCTTCTTTGAGAGTTAATAACATTAATTGAATAATTCGTCCTTCAGCATTTATTGGATTTGGATATAAACCATATTAATTTAGTAAAACAGATAAAGTGAATGTAACAATAGTTTCAACGTGAAAAACAATAGATTTTTTTTTTTCTGTAAACATATAATTTTTAACGTTATATAATATTAACGTCATATAATATTTTATTTCCTTTTTTATTTTTACATATTATTTTAAGATATACTAGTTTATGTATTGTAGTAAAATAATTGAAATTGATTTTAGCTTTTTGTTATTTATTCTTGTTTTTACAACTATTTTGTTAAGTAGTATAAATCTTGTAATTTTCTGTTGTTAATACTAATTAATATTTGAATTGATTTCGATCTGATTCTAATATAATATCCTACTGATAATTTAATTGAGAGAAAGAAACAATAGTATGCGCTTGAGTGTATATAAATAGAAGTAATGCCAATTCGTATGCTTGCTTATATATTTCACAGGCCCACGAAGAGACGCCCTTCCTGCTAGAGAATTCATTTTACAGATGTTTGTCGACTTGAATCCAGATGCTGAGAAGATTATATATTCACACTTTACGTGTGCTACAGGTAGGCCATTAGTAATTGATGCTAATGTGCATTTGTTTTTGCTTTTTAACATTATGTATGTTGTGTAAGATAATTTGCATGTTGCCTATATCAAGCATCAGGTGCGTAATTTTTATACTAATAGTTATTTACTTCAAGAAAATCAATCTATTATAAGAATTTATAAAATAATCATTGATATAAAAAGTATGGTTTATAATTTAATTCTAACAAATATTTATTTTTTAAATAAGAACTATAATTAAATATTTATTATTAATTATTAATGGTAACATAAATGTACATTTTTAAAATGAGATTGATTTTCTACATTTAAAATTAATATTTATTACAATATATGATTTATTATTGCATGCTGCATTTATGGAACTATTCATCAGATACGGAAAACATCAAACTTGTATTTTGTGCTGTTAAAGATACAATTATGCAAACTGCACTTAAAGAATTTAATCTTGCCTAATGTGATTGTGGACAATTTTTGCATTTATGAATAATCTTTAGATAATGTGTTTCTTTTATTGACAACGTACACAGATTTTTTTACAGAACAACTATTAATGCCTGATTAAATGTTGATAAACCATAAGTGAAAATAGAATAACTTCTTTTCTCTGCAAAATTTTGAGACTGCCAATCTGTTCCCTACATAGTATTATTCATACATAAATCATTTATGAAAATGACCAATTGTATGAAAAAAATGAAATACAGTGAAAATATACAGTTTATTAATATTACACATTGAGTAAAGAAGTTTTGGTAATTGAATTACTATGTTATTTCAATAGTAAAAGCATTTTTATTTATTTAGTGAAATTCTAAATGATTATCATAAAATGTAATATATTTTAACCATGTAAAACAACACATAGGAGGACTTAAATCAATATAATCAATTTCCTAATTTCAATTTTATTTCATAAATGTCAATCTTATAAAAATATTGGAAAGAATACTATGCTTTGCACAAAGTATAATATATAATGCATGAACTATATAAACCATATCTGTTTGCATACTGTTTGATTATAATTTAACAATTTTTTAATTTCTGAATTTAATTAAACATTATGATTATTTTACTCTGAAAAATGTTAATAAGGTTTATATGTATTTCTTTCAGTAACAGTTTTATTTAAGTTTGTTATTAATTCATTTAACAAAGCACAGTTAAATGTATAAATCATAATGTATTTCATGTTTGTGAGAGTGTGAAATCTAACTTGTTCTTCAATGACATGTGATAACTATTACATTATATACAGCTTTCTTTTCTTTTATATATACTTTTATAAAACCTCTGCAGTTAATTGTAACTTCTATAATTTCTAATTTCCGATTGACTACTATGAGATTGATAGAAATTGTTATAAATATGTGCTTCGATTATTTAATTTAAATATATTACTATGCAGCATAATTATTTGTTTAATAATCCTTATTATATGAATTATATTATATGTATATTGGTGTTTTTGTGAGTTTGTAAATATAAAAAATACAAGTCGCATGTCGCATGTATATCAACTTCAGCTTATTCTTATCTTTCATTCTTGGGTAAGTTTGTTTATTATATACTGTTATATCATTAGTTAATACTTCAATATGACGAGATATGGAACATACGTTTTTGTTACATCGGCGGTGTCAATAAAACATACAAACTTGCGCAGTTGTTTGTAATCATGTCAATATATCACTTTATCATTAAATTTAGAGTAATATTTTCTTTACAATTTATGTGCTCCAAATCATAGGTTCATATTAGTTTGTATTACGCGATAGCCATCGTTGAAGGATTAACAAAAAATAGTAATTATAAAAATTTTAATATTTCTAAAATATTTTTAATCATTTCTAACGCTTTTTGCTGAATTAACTCAGTAAATATATTATTGTTATTCAAATTCATAAATCATAAATGTTTATAATTGCTTTCTCTTACAGATACAGAAAACATCAGATTTGTATTTGCAGCAGTGAAAGACACCATTCTACAGTTAAACTTAAAAGAATATAATCTGGTTTAGATGGCAATACATAAAATTCAGAATGGACTCAAGAATTTTTCTTATACCCTGACCAAGGTATCAGTGTGAACTTTGTTAAGTTAGAAATGGGGAAGAGACAAAAAAGGCAGAAAATGAACAGTAATTTGTGGTGCCATCAGCGTACTGTCGCTGCTCCATTACAAGTGTACCAACTATTGATTAGTAAAATTTATAACGGAGGTAACAGCGATGAACAAATATGGACCTAAATCTGAGCGTTATACGTTCTTTCCTAACCTTCTCACTGTCAATACCAACAAATTGATTTAGTTTCGTACTCTATTTGTTGAATTTGTTACCTTTTTATAGATTAGTTTAGTCAATCATGCCTGGCTGACTGCGTAATCGTCTAATTTTTATATAATAATACCACGAGCAACACATAAATAAACGTATAAGATAGAGTGCAGCCATGCCATACAATGTCTGTCCAAGTGTTCATCTCAAATCGAGGGATCTCAGCAAGAAACTGAAGAGAAGAAGGACAAATGCTTTTTAATTACAAGTAGTCGGTGACACAAGTGAGAGCAATTCTAGTGCCATTTACTAGTGTGGTGTTTTTATTGCAGTCCTTTCTTAGATGCAAAAAGCCAAAGTGTTTTTTTATCTGTGCCAGAAGCGAGTAAAAGTTTTTTCTGCATGTGACTCAAATTCATAATTCATCATATAAATATTGTTATATATAATATATAAAATGAAACATAGGTTAGCATTGAAGAAAGCAACGTAAAGCCAGCAAGAAGGAAACTTTACCACCCTTCAATATTAAGAAATTATTAGAAAACATCTGTTTGATGTGATTTTAGGTAATTAGGAGGTGAAAGGTCGCAGGTTCTTCTGCTGTCTTTTTTCTCCATAGGCTGTGTACAGAATGTGAGGGCTGCGATCTCATACCATACAATTATAATCCTGCAATTTACGAATATTGTAAAAGTCTTAATCACAACACTGATTTTCCTTTCATCCAGCCCTCGCTTATTGGCACAGCATCACGTAGCTAGGGACATGGTTCAAGAACGTATGGCCCTAGCTCGCATTGTATCCACATTACAGTGTACGTATGTATGAACTGCTCACTGCCTGCGCTCGCTCATGCTGGCTAGCGCGCTGCCCACTGCTTGTATTCTCTAATGGTTTGATTAACTGTTGTTTGTGCCACCTTTTGATGTTCTACTGAGGGAACATTTATATAAAGGTGATAGAAACTGCTTTGCACAAACCTAGAGAGTACTTGCACAATAAACTTTATGGTGTTGGTCAAATCAGTGAATTAGGGTGTGACGTTTCAACATGTGTAGCCTGAATGTCTAACCCTGATACTGCTAACACTGCATGCACACTGGGCAGCATATGTCATACCTACTTTGGTTGAAACACTGAGTTTATATGAAAGAAAAAATATATAAATACATTGAATAAAATATAATATTAAGAGATAATAATATTGAATAATAAACAAAATAATATTGAATAATAATAATAATATTAGTAATAATAATAATGATAATAATAATATAACAATAAAAATAAGAATATCAATAATAATAGCGATGGTGGTAATGATGACTGACGATGACGATGATGATAATAATAATATTAATAATAATATTAATAATAATAATATTAATAATAATAATACTGCTTGGTTTTCAATGAGAATGTATGATTAAAGGGAATGAATGACAATGAAGGTGATGAAATAAATGTGTACTCTAAGTGAGAAAAAATGGTAATTAAAGTGAAAGAAAGAAAGAAAGAAAGAAAGAAAGAACGGGGGAGAGGAAGAGAGAAAAGGAGAAAGAGTGGAGGGAGAGAGAATGAGAGTGAGAGAATGGACTTAGATGTATGATATGTATGCAGCATGCGTGAAACATTTTAACAAAAGATTAAAAAATTGGTTGAGACGAACAGGCTTTCTTTTGCCTGATTCGAGAACGAGCGAGTGATGCGCAAATTTGTGGCTATAGTTCATTTGTAAATCATTTTTTGTCAAAAGTATACATTTTTCTGAAAGCATAATATGTTGGGTATTCTTTCTGTGTGTATAAAATGTAAACACCTACCAAATCCAAAATGAAATCAATGTTTCTAACTTATTTATAATAAATAATATACATTAATGATAAAAATAAACGCAGTTTGTGACAGTAATATCGATGCATGATACCGCATTCACCTCGAATATTTACCTCAAAACATAGCAATCCTTGAGTATAATAATCCTTGTCCTGTTCATATTGCGAAGAGTTATGTTTAATTATATCTCCTCATAAAAAAATTATTTTACTTAAAGTTATATTTTGTTTTTATTATATAGGAACTGTTACCTTTTATACAAAAAATATATTTTCACTTAAGAATGTACTGTGAAATTTATTGCCGCTTTTACACACATAAACAGTATAACAAATGAATTGAATAAAAATTTTATTTATTTAATACATTTATTTTGTAACTAATTATTATACTTAATTTAAATTAAAGAATTATTATAATAAAAAAATGTATATAAAAGGAAGTATTATAGTTACTTGCATTATTGATTATTTGATAAATATATACATTTATTACAATATTTTGTCAATATAATTCATTGACCTCAAAATTGAATTATTGGTTTTGTTATTCAGAAAATTAAATTACATAGTTATTCAAAAAATAAAAATTTATGGTATCAAATAATAAATAATAATCTTAATCATCAAAGTTTGGATTATTCTTTTGTTTCATTTTATTAACATAATTATCAAGAACTATTCCTAATTACTATTTTCACAATAATGAGAAATAAATTTTCATGATAAAATATTTTATTTACATACTATATAATACGATACAAATTTTGCTATCAAAAATACTTAATATAACCAAATTACTTGTGGATTCAAACAAAATGATAACCACTATTTTCTTGTTAGGAATTCGTAATTCGCGCACAAATATGTAATCGTCTAATATGCACCAATAATAAAGTAGACCGCCTAGCGGTGGATTTTCAAACGTCACGCCATTGTATTAAGGCGAAAATGTCGTCATTGAGGAAAGGATGTCTGGTGCGGTGAAGAGAAAACGCGCGCGCGCGAGCAACGTGTATGACCACGGTATCGTTTCTGCAAGTATAGTCCTGCGGAGGATTGTCGAAAGGACTACACCCCTACAGTAGAGAGAGTCAAGCTTTGTCATTCGAATCAACTTATACAGTGAATAAATCCACGCAAGTGAAAAGATGAGTCTCCTGTTGGAAGAGGAAGAAATTGACGAGTGAGTGTTCTGTCATTTACTATTATATTTTCTACGTTCGTTTCATCCCCATGAGATGAAAGTTTCCTCCCTTTAGTTGAACTTGTGAAAAGAGGGCTTGGCTATGTTCAAATATCGTTTTATGAAATGAAGAATTTTCGGGTAAATCTTTAAATTTCGATAATTGTTAATAACAAATCGTCCATAGTTAAATTTTGATGGGTCGCGTGATTGCGTAGCGTTTTCTACAATATTCTGTGAGATCACTATAGAA